GTAACAATTCAGATTATGGAACACATTCACTTTCAGATTTGATTAAAAAGAACAATGAGACCCTGCCCCAGCCTGGGAGAGGAGCTCGCAGGTGAGCACCTGGTGGGCAGTTACGAAAAACAACATGGGTCCATCTCATTGGTTAGATTGGAGCGGGCAGGGAGGACTAGCTTTTGGCTGCAAAAACTAGCTTTTGGTACATGGAATGTGACCTGGGAAAGGAGCTGATGTTAGTGTGGGAGGTTAGGCTACCAGCTAGATATAATTGGCCTAACAAACTTCTATGTACAGCTCTGGAACCAAATTCCTGGAAAGGGGTTGGACTCTCTCCTTCTCTGGTGTCACTCAGGGTGAGGAAACGGGGGTGGGAATATTGACCAATCCCCGACTCGATGCCATTGTCTTGGAAATTAATTATCAGTTGATTAATCTGTTATCGGCCAGTGTGGTCCAACTTAATTATACCTATTGGTAAAAATCCACTATTGGTTGACCTCTAGCTCCAATTATAGAGGGATCCCACTTCTCAGTCTGCCAGGGAAAGCCTATGTCAGAGTGCTGAAAAAAGAGATTCTGGCTGATTGTTAAACCTCAGCTGGAGGAACAACAATGTGGATTTTTGTGGATGATGTCATCCTGATGGCTTCATTGAGCCTTCAGCATTTACTTGGGCAGTTTGCTGTTGAGTGTGAACTAGTGGAAATGAGCACCTCTAAATCCAAGGCCATGGTTCTGCACAGGAAAAGGGTGGATTGGCCACTTCGGGTAGGGAGCGAGTTGCTTCCCCAAGTAAAGGAGTTCAAGTATACTGGGGTCTTGTTAATGAGTGAAGGTAGATTGGAGCATGACATTGACAGGAGGATTGATGCAATGGCAGCAGTAATTCAAGCTTATGGTGAAGAGAGAGCTAAGCCTGAAGGTGAAGCTCTTAATTTACCAGTCAATCAACATTCTAAACCTCACATATGATCATGAGCTCTGGGTAATGACAGAAAGAACAAGATTATTGGTACCAGCAGCTGAAATTAGTTTTCTCCATAGGGTGTCTGGGATGACCCGGAGAGAAAGGGTGTAAAGCTTGGACATCCGGGAGAGACTCGGAGTAGAGCTGCTGCTTCTCCAAGTTGAAAGGAGCTAGTCAAGGTGGTTCAGGCATCTGGTACTAGTACTAGATTTCTAATGTAATTACGTATTAAATTATATTTAATTTGAAACGTAGCACAGTAAAAAAAAAAAAAAAAAAAAAAAAAAAAAAAAAAAAAAAAGTACAATATTATGCTTTGGATTGTTCTGAAGTAAAAGTTTTCTAAATAAAAACACTTATAACTTACAGACACTTAAAGCAGAGTAAAAATACTTCACTACTGTCCGCCTCTGATAGTAAATAAGGTATTCGTTTGTGGTAGTTATGTTAAGGTAGGTAGGGTTAAGGGATCTAGAATATGGTCCTGCAGATAAAGGCAGAATGATGTGTGCTTTATAAGTAGGGGAACTCCCCTGTTTACAAATACTAATAAACAGCCAGTATGCTAGTAATCAGCTGCTAAAAAGCAACTAGTTACTAGTGAATAGTGTTCCCTATTCTACAGTGTTACTGAATTTTTATTTCTGGATGAGCTGTGTAAATACAGTGTATTTTCATTTACTATGAATGTGATCTAAAACCAGTAGTACACAATCACATAAAAATTCCTTCAGTCTTAACACACTCTTGGTCTTCCTGGTGTATTCACTGCCTCCAGTTGCTCATATATCCACAAGCACACGAAAGACCTACAACTCCAGTCACTGCCATTCAAGCTATTCCCTGTTGAAAAGGGATACCTGTGCAGGTACCTTCTTCATCCTTATAGCCATCAGCACAGGTGAGGCAGTTATTGGCACCAGGTCCTTTGCAACCAGAGCAGTTGGTATCGCATTCTGGGATATAAAATAACGGTAATATTGTTTTAAAGTGTCCTTGTTTGACATGTAATTATG